TCGAGATTAGTGGTTTCTGAAACTTTCCGTACTTCTTGACCAAAAGCTTAGCCTGCCTAAGTCGTATAATGTGATTATTCAATAATAATTCTTAGTTATGAAGCCTACTTATATTGAAGGTAAGTAACACCGTTGATTGTAGTGGCAAAGAAATTGTGCCTTACTTTTCATTCATAAGTAGGGTTTTGAGAATTTCAATACATCCCACATAAGAGCTGTATTCACCCCAGTTCGTTTAAGTTGTAGCTGGATTTTCATACAATCACATGAGCAAGTCTCATGTTTCCATTGAATTGCACATCACATTGCTTTTTCACATGATGTTCCTATTAAGGATGAAGCTCGCCTAGGTCTTATCAACATCCCCAGCGGTACTCGAACCCTGGAAGTATTTCCTATAATCTCGACACAATGAGGTCTAATCAAGGTCGAAATTGCAATCCATTTCAGCCTTGATAAGAATACCTTTTTGGAAAAGCAAAGTTATGCTAAATGCAAGAGAATCATAGGGCATATTCATATAATTGTGGGAAAACTTCAATTAATAGTCCATTATCGAATTAAACGTATGTTTGACAGCTCTTTATTTCTGTTTTTTGGGCCAGTTTGTATTATGGGCCGCTGATCTTCATAAGTCCCAGATATTTTCAGAATCTTTGACAGTAAAAATTAATTCGTACTTTTTAGTCTACAACAAGTCAGGATTGTGAAAAAAATGATTATAAAATAGTTAATGTCAGTCTGAAATTTTGTTAAAAATTTCGACCAAAAAAACTGTGGGATGTCTCGAGGACTTTATCAACCTGATTCGGTTGTCAGCTTTTAGTGAAGTCACTTCACCGTCACTTTCATATAAAAATAAAGTCGATCCAAAAGAGTCATGAATGCCCAACTACTCTTCGTATAAGAGACAGGATAAACTAGTCGGCAGAATGTATAATGGCAAAACTCCATAAAAATGTGATCACGACAAGAATTCCAAACTTCCGCCCAACTCTATACTCACCTCAACCGAGTCGTCGAGCGCCAACAAGATGGCCGAATGAAGAGGAAGCGATCGTTGCTGTTGTCTCGTCGGCTCATCACCCACAGTCGCCATTGGTCCTCCGGGTCCTCCGGGTCTCTTGAGTCCCTCACCGTTGGCCGCTTTCTCCGTCACAGTCTGCGTCCAAGCGCCATTTTCTTCGGTCGTCCAGCTGCCCT